TCCGTCCCCCTCCCCCTTATTGTGAAAATCCTGGATCCGCCCCTCCCGCTGTATGTCCTTTACTGAGCAAGGGGGAATGTGTGGGAGGTGGGGTGACGTGTCAAGGGATAAAACAATGCAGAAGTAAAGGGGCACTTTGAATGACACTTTCAGGAAGTGGTTTAATAGTCTTTTTTCCCTATTCTTTATAAAAAAAAACCTTGCCCCATCAGGCCATTCTACACTTAAAATCGTCAACTTTAGAACCTTCCACATGATTATGTACACGGGCAATGTGCGACGTGCGTGTTTAACCAGGCGATACCTCCCTTCGTAGGGCAAAACGACAGGTTTGACATTGATTAAAACAAGATTGCCCAGAGTGATTCATATTTTAACTAACCACAGCAGTACATGGTCGACAGATTCTAGACACACCGGTGACGAATCGAAGCTATGAGGCACAATGTGTTAGCGTGTGTATTTTCATATACGAATTACTAGCTGTAGTTTTACGTATAGGTACCAAATATTCCCTTTTATCTCCGATATTGTCTGTCATTTACAATTTGTGAATTTCTTGTAATGCCCCCATTTATAATTTAGTGCATGAAATAAAATGAAATTATAAACTATATGCCCTTCTCCAAGTATCCATTAAATAGATATCTGCATAGGCCTATGTATTTCGGGGAGGGGTCGGGGCAGGGATACATGCCCCCAACCTATGCGCCCCCATCATCCCTTGGTGATGTTAGTAGAAGAAGGCGGGTAGTAGTAGTACTAGTAGTAGTAGTAGTAGTAGTATAATATCATTAGTAGTAAAAGAAGAAGTAATAGTTGTAGTAGTAGCAGTATCAGTAGTAGTAACAGTATTATTATTAGTAGTAGTAGTAATAGTAGAAGTAGTAGTAGTAGTAGTAGTAGTAGTAGTAGTAGTAGTAGTAGTAGTAGTAGTAGTAGTAGTAGTAGTAGTATTAGTAGGAGTAGGAGTAGTAGTAGTAGTATTATAAGCAGCATCAGTATGACAGCAGCGTTGTTTTAAAGGTATTACAAAGTTTTGGTATGGGGTCATGAATTCGGTTCAAATTAAAATATTGGAAGCATATGCGTTCCTACAATATTCATTGATCGTTGTCGCGATTGAAATCGAGTCTGAAGTTATGAAATTATAAATAATAAACTCTTCATGTTGTATAGCTCCCTCTCAAGGTCAAGATATTAATTTAGCTATGAAACAATGTTTCTTGACTAAAATCGACCGATTAGCTATTCCCGTTTGAAAATTATATATCACAACTACATATTATGAGATTTTCATGGTCGCAGCTACCATTGTACGGCCATAGGCGCTATTTGAAATTTATCAAAATTTACCGGGAGCACCGGTAAATTTAAATATTCCATTTTTCTCGAAAACAGAAGTGTTTTAGGGGCTAATTATTTTAGTGCTTATAATACATCCACAGAGGCATCCAAATATATCAAAAAAATTAAGATTCACTATCCACTCAATTTTCAAAATTTCCCAAAACTTTGTATTACCTTTAACGAATACACAATTATATCAATAATTTATATTATTGGCAATGTGGTACAAATTGCGGTTTAAGAATTATCGAGGCTTGTTGTAATTGGCTTTCTAAAACTAATTGGTTTCATGGAACCCATAACGAATTGATCAAAAAGCTATTAAAGAAAATGTCCTTGTATTTGTCATTATTTACTTTGGAAACTTGACATCTCAAGTCCGGTTTGGAAAAGGATAGACCTTAAAATTGTTTACAGTAAATGTATCTATTTTTTTTTCTCTCTCTCTCTCTCTCTCTCTCTCTCTCTCTCTCTCCTAGCTCGGCCTATGCCTCTGTGTCTCCTTCTCTCTCAATTCTTGTGTTTACTACAGGAAACAGGAAACGTTGTAATGAGTATACAGTGAATTTATTCTCTCTCTCTCTCTCTCTCTCTCTCTCTCTATATATATATATGTATATATATCTTTCTCTTTCTCTCTCTATGTCTCTCTACCTCTTTTTTTCTTTCTCTCTCTCTCTCTCTCTCTCTCTCTCTCACGCTCTATCTATCCATATCTCTGCCTCTACTTCTGTCTCTCCTTCTCTCATTTTTTGTTAATGTTTTTATTTTTATGTTTTATTACTTTTCTCTCTTTCTTTCTTGTTTCCCGTCATTCTCTCTTTACTACAGGAAACAGGAAATGCTTAAATGAGTTTTCCTTGCGAGGATCACGATTCACCCAAAGTCAATGAACTTAAAACCGAAATTCTTTTTAGTAGTATATTTCTTTTTTTTCTCTCTCTCTCTCTTTCTTAATTTTCGAATTATTCGGCGCTATAAAAACAATGAATCATTTTATGTCTATCTTTACTCAGGAACTCAAACAAAACACCACAAATCAAATTTCAAATACATTATAGATATAAATATATATATATATATATATCGAACTACCAGTATTCAATTAAAAGTCCGCGGCATAGACTATTTACTTTGGTTTTTGCATATAAAATAATTGTGCTTGCCTTATTTTGCAGTCGGCACATAGAACCAGTAGCGGATCCAGGGGAGGGGGCAAAAAGGGAGTAAAAAACTATTAAAGAAGATGGGCCTACCCCCTGGGAAGTAAACAAAAGGTAAACTTTTTTTTTTTTTATTATTCCTTAAGGAGGGGGGGGGGGGGTGTTGAGTAAACCAGGGTACCTGGTAAGAATTAATTCCTTGAAATGCTAGAGCGCCATAATGGCAGCCAAGGTAAAGTGAGGGATACTAATTGTGGAGCACCAGGAGTGTCAAGTCTGACATACATGAGTGCATTTTATTATTAGTGTTATTATTATTGTTATGATGATGATTATGATTATGATTATTATTATTATTATTATTATGATTATTATTATTATTATTATTATTATTATTATTATTATTATTATTATTATTGTTATTATTATTATTGTTATTATTATTATTACTATTATTATTATTATTATAATTGTTATTTAACAAATAGATACAATTTAAAAAGTAGCGGTTACGATGTTTAGTTGCTCTTCGTACGTGCGATTATAATTCTAACAAAGTTATGCCTCTTAATATTCAGGTTAGTCCGATGACTAGAAGTCCATGCCTAGTCACTTTGACATACACTTCAGATGAGAGAATTTATTTTAATTCATGAAAAATCCATGTCGGATGATGGCGTATGTAAGAAGATATTTTATGAAACAAGGAAATGAATCAACATCATCCGGAAACAAACTGAGACAAACAATATTCCGTCAAAGAGGCCTGTGTTCTTCTAGTTTCTGCTCAATTGGAAAATCCTTAAAGGAATTATTTAAAGGCCGCACGTAATTTTCTAAATTTTATCTCATTTATTTCATTTAAGAATAAGGAAATACGGATATGACCTTTAATATGATATTAGTCATGGTGATAATACTAATGGGAGGGCATTAAAAGACATTGTCTTACTAAGGAGCCCGAAAAGACAGGTGAATAATAAGAAGGAGATGGATAATCATAGTATCATAGTACACATGCTCAACTCCCTGGTGAGGAATCCAGCTTGTCGCCTATTTTACGGGCGCGCATGTTTTAATCCAAACACAATGAACATCAAATTAACATCCGGGTTAAGAGGAGCAATGAAGTAAAAATCATCACCCTCAAGGACATAAGTGCTCCATTACGATACCTCTTCACTTGAGAGAACCCTTCGTCAATTGTCACTATGTTTCATTATGTTTATAGGAAATAAATGGACAAGTGCCAAATCTAGTCAGGGACACATTCATTGTACAGAATAACCTCTATTATTATATTAACGTGATTTAAAGGCAAATTCAAAAATTCCTTGTGCATCAACTTTTTGAATTATGCTCTAACACGGTCGTGTTTCAAAAGCCAATCCAATCTTTGTCATGAGTGCATTTGTTTGAAAAAACTGAAAATTATTAAAAAGAAAACAGAGGGAAGAAAATCTTTAAAATAAATCGGACCATAATAAGAAAGTAATTAATGTTTGAAATTATGAGATCACTAAGTTTATGTGAATTTCAAATTGGCAATTTGGTCAGTGGATTGCCACATACATGAAGTCGTGGTCAACTTCAGACAAAACGAATTTCGTATGACTCAAGTGGGTCTTTTCTTTTGATACAACGTATAATAATTCGTTATCCAGAATATTATTTGAGTATTTCCCGAAGGGAGAAGAACAATTAATTATATTTTTGTACACACTAAATGGGAGAATTGTTATAATCGTTGTAATCTGGCAACCAAATTATCAATTCGAGATTTGCATAGATTCAGTATTCTCATATTTTAATAAATTGGTTCGATTTATTTCAAAGTTTCGCCATTCTGTTCTCTTATTTTTTTGCTTTCATACATAATTAGTAAACTTATTACAAAAGCGAGGTTGCCCTAAATTAAAACCACTCATCACTTAATTTCCAATCGTTTACAAATGCGGTATTAATAGAGTGTATAACAGGTAATACAGATAAGCCATCCATGCGTGAATTTTGAAACTAATACATTTCATTCATATTCTAAATTGCGTGTATTAATCATAAACCACAGACTAATTTTATAAAACCTTGCAAAGCTAGATGTTAACTCATTACATAGGCTATAATAACTAGTTCCTTCACAAAAAGGCAATACTTAATAGACGACTCTTCGGAGGATATCCGACATAGCAACACGTAAAGTATGCAAGGTGGATTCCATCACACTATGCTGCTAGAGACGGCAGGTGCGTGAAATATTGTGTTAAAAGCAAACCATGTATGCGTTGTGAAAAGAAACGCATTCAAAACACAACGAACATAATTTTAGTAGGCCTATACTATAGTTATTCAATTTAGCTTTATAGAAAACTATTCAATTTGTTTGACGAACTAAATTAATAGCATTACTATGTCCAAACACTGTTAAATTGGTTTAACATAGAATAACAGCGACTATATATAAAACACAATGCTACTGTCTCGACTTACCGATATGCACGTTGCAGTCCAAATACAGCTAAAGTTAGTACTGAGCCAGAGATCGAGTGAGCGGAACATAGATACGAAGGTCGCGGGGGACGGGCCGTGCAGGAAACGAACGGATGACGAGGCACCGTGAAGCAGGGCTCCCTGCCAGAATTGGAAACAAAAGCGATGGTTATTGTAAGAGTAAACTCGTGTGATGTGAGTATTCATTCCCTTTAGCGACCATTGCCAAGTTTTGATCGAGGGAACGAGAGAGAGAGAGAGGGGGATGGAGAGAGGTGTGTGTGTGTGGAGGGGGGAGCCTGAGCGACAGAGATGCAGATATATGCACAGAGAGAGAGGGAGAGACAGAGAGAGAGAGAGAAAGAGAGGCTAAGTGAATATGAAAATAAGGAGGGAGGGAAAAAACGAATAGAGGAACTTAAATAAGAGTAGGGAAGGAGAATCAGGATTGATAGGGAAATAAACTGGGCCAGAGGTAAGAGGATACTTTTTTAGGGGGGTCCCCCCAAAATAGCAACGACTCAGCCAGCCGTTGAATAAGCGGGGGGGGGGGTGATTGAGGGAGGTAAGAGGACACCTTTTTTTTTTGGTCCCCCAAAAATCGCAACCACTCAGTCAGCCGCTGGGGGGGGGGGGGAGGGGTGAGAGGACACTTTTTTTTTTGGGGGGGGTGGGGTCTCAAAATGTGAAAAATTGACATTTTGCTCCGTTGGGGGGAGGGGTAAGATAAACAAAAAATCAAAGGGGGGGGGGGAGTGGTTTTTCTCCAAAATACACACATACAAAATACCAAAGGGGGGGGTTCAATCCCCCCACCCCCCCCCCCCCCCCCCCCACTTCTGCGTACGCGCCTGAACACGACTAACACCGCCTTTTCGTTTGTTTTGAGGTATTACCAAATAATTGTACGCATCGATTTGGGAGAAGCAATATACAGTTGGCATCTGTTCTGTAACAAATACAGATCATTCAAACATACAAAAGAAACAAGTTGGCGAATTGCAGAAATATATGGACACAAGAAGATTTACCCCCACCCCCTTCCACACACACACACACACACCGCACACACCCCATACACACACCCGTCCAATGACGATACCAGTGACATACTTTCCATCGAACTGTGACTAATTGCTGTCGAATGCGATTTGTGAATTTGCTTTCCGTAACCGCGAGTGTTTTGATTCAAATGTAGTGATAAAAGATGACATAAAGTTATTTCAAACCATTTTTTTTTTTTTTTTAGAGTTTCATACATTATTTTGTAGAGGCGCACGAAAACACCCCCCCCCCCCCTCATCGAATGGCCAAAGAGATATTTATATTTAAAGATTGAGAGAAAAACTAAAGGAAGAAGGGAGTGGGGAGTGAAGAAGAGAGAGAGAGAGAGAGAGAGAGAGGGAGAGAGAGGGGGGGGGAGAGACAGACACAGCGAGAGAGGGAGGGGTAGAGAGAGGGAGAGAGAGAGAGAGAGAGAGAAAAAAAAAAGGGGGAAGAGGGAGAGAAGACAATATGTGTGCGGGGGTCTGTCCTCAGCCCTTATGAGACGGTGATGATAGAAATGTAAACGGCATGGTAGATTGAAAGATATGTACAAAAAAGTCTTTCTCCATCTAGAAGCCTAATCAAATTGAAAGGTGTTCAATACACCAGAGATGAACACTTTCTATAAGGGAGTTTACAGATAGCACATGGTACAAATGACCCCAAATATCCACAGATCTTTTACACATGGAGAAGTTCCACTTTGAGCATCTTAGAATAATAACTGCCAAAGTCCTAGATGTGCTTCATGAATATCTTTTGTTTGACCTCTTGAAAAGAATACTTCCACCTGCGTATCATAGAATGTACCGTAGGTGCATAAATGAATAATGTTACATAACTTTCATGAGCGCATATCCAGTATTTATCTCTGTGGGTTTTGCCATTTTGGTACAAATGACCTTTATCTGCCCATGCGCGGAATGTATCTGTAAACTCCCTTATTATTCTAAAACACATTTCACTCTGGCATATCAGATATGGTTGGCCCGCACCTGTAGAATATCACCCTAATATCCAATCGAATCTTCACATTTCGCGATTCACGCGCTCATATCATTCGTTCGGAGAAGAGGTTGCGCCTACCGTCCTTGATAATAAGCCGCGATCAAGGTAACCGATCATAATCACGTGATATGCAATGTTTAAAGACAGAGCATGTGCCAGGAAACATCTTGAGAATTAAAGTGAACATGTTCCTCAACCTACGACTAAATTACACACTCACATTGCTTCTCTTACTCATACACACTCTCAATATTGATTAAAGTCACACAATGGGACAAAAGAAGATACGTGTTTTAAATTCAACCGTCAAGTTGCGTCATCATGCTTATAGGCCGAATTTGGTGAGGAAAATTGCTATTCAAAAGGGGTCATTGAAAAATACTTATGTGTAAATAATTTGTCTTAAGATTGAAATTGAAAGGTAATTTATGCTACCATCGAAGTAAGGCAACAAGACAGTGTTGGACTTTGTTGATATTTTTTTATTAAAACGATGGTGGTAACTTTGTTCCAATGCCCCTTATAAAGGCTAATCCATTGGTTTGTATTAAACCCAAAGTCATGCTTAGGCCCTCGTCAAAGAAACGGGTGTTTCAACGACCATATTTACACTACCATCAACTACAACGGAGAGGGCGTCATACCAATACTTATCACAGCTTCATATATGTCGGCGTGAAGGGGGTGTGAAATGGGTGGGCTGGGGGGGGGGGGGTGAAGAGTTTGTGTGGTGTGAGTTGAGGGAACAGGTTGCATGCAGTGTGTGTTTGTGTTTGTATGGTTGTTTATGTGTGTGAAAGGGGGTGTGGTGTGGGTGGGCTAGAGGGGGGGGGGGTGTGAGAGTGTTGTGATAGGATGGTAATATGTAACTTTAAACCTTCCTCTCCTGTTATTTTGATTATACACTGTTACATGCAAGACTTTTTTTTTTCCTTTTTTTTCCCTCTATGTTCATTGATTAATGTAACTTATGAAATGTCTTGTATCAAAGATCTTGTTTTATATTGCTTATCTTGATAATTTCTTGTTATGTAAATTTCTTGCTATGTGAAATTATGAGGAAGGAAATAAAATATCATTTAAAACAAAAAAAAATCTACACTTTAAACCTTCCTCTACTGTTATTTTGATTATACACTGTTACATGCAAGAATTTTTCCCCCTTTTTTTTCTATGTTCATTGATTGATGTAAATCATGAAGTGTCTTTTATCAAAGATCTTGTTTTATATTGCTTATCTTGATAATTTCTTGTTATGTGAAATTATGAGGAAGGAAATAAAATATCATTAAAAAAATATATATATATATTAAACAAAAGAACATACACCTCCTCATGCAGATTACTGATAGGGCATACACATGGACATTACTAATCATACATGCCATTTAAAGACCACTCCAAGCAGCTCGATGCAAATAAAGATAGGAACCTTCAAACTTAGTTGGCCCGAATTCTCAAAGGAGGTTTGTCGACAAACATACATGTGCGTCATATAACGCGTTTTTACGCGTTTTTACAAAACAAGGTGATTTATTTTAATTTTCCAGGCACACTCCGACATTACACCTCTGATATACTTCTAGTCCTTTTGATCGCCACAATATGACTTGATCATGATATGAGTTGTAGAAGACAGCATGACGTCAACTGTCAACATAAAACAATGCTTTGATTACTCAGTATGTTTATATGAAGGAACAAAGGGGGTTGCTTAGCAGTCATGACGCGCTAATTAATTTACCAGCTTCAACTGTTCGCCAACACCTTCAACTAGCCTTGACTTCTTCTAGGCACGCCCACTTAAGGGGGCAAAGTTATGTATCCAGGCATGAACGCGTAACATTGTTTAATCATAGGCAAAGACGCGCTCATCCCGTGCAGGGCTCCAGTTTCCAGTGGGACGTGTTAAGAAGTATCCCAGCTTGCAGCTGCTACTGCTGCTGCTGCTGCTGCTGCTGCTGTTGTTGCTACTGCTGCTGCTGCTGCTGTTGTTGTTGCTGTTGTTGTTGCGTGTTTTCAACCTATCATTCAGTTGTGAAATGTGAATTTTTACACCAAATGTTAAAGTTTTGACTTGACTTTGAATCAAGATGATGAGGGTTAGAATTCGCTCACCGTGAGCATGCCCTACATGTATGTACACCAAGCTAAAGCCAGGGTAATAACCGGGGCAGCGCCAGGAGCGTCACAACGTGACGGACATGTGCGCTATATAAGTAGCCACCATTATTATTATTATATTTGAGTGGATATATCTTTATCTTATCCGGACACCTGCCCCCTGGACATCCACCCCCAGATAACCACCCCAGTAAACTACCCCCTGGGACAACTACCCCCGAATAACTACCCCCGGACAACAACCCCTAGACAACTACCCCTAGGATAGTTGTTCGGGGTAACCTTCCTCTAGGCTAGAGGAAGGTTGTCGTAAGGGGTAGTTGTCCGGGGATAGTTTTCCTGGGGGAAGTTGTCCTAGGGGGTAGTTGTCCTAGGAGGTAGTTGTCCTAGGGGGCAGTTGACGGGGGGGGGGGTATGACCAGGGGGTAAGTGTCCTAGAACCATCTTTATACAGTCACACTTGCTTATTAAAGTGACCCTTGAAAATGTCTCCCTTTAGGAGTTCTTTACAGGCGCTGGCACGGGAGAAGATTACAGGAGGAAACTTCGGAAACACTTTTTGGATTATATTTATAGGTATCATCTAAACTATGTAATTAATGTGATTCATTTAGGTCTGAACAGCTCAAATAAACACGATACAATTGATTATAATGACCTCCCCGCTAGTTGGCGTCCTACCAAAATAATTGGGGAAAGGGGAATTATGTTATCATATCTCATGGTCTAAGGGATAAAGAATTTCGATTTATTTTAAATGTCCCCCTTTGCTTAGAATTTCTGAATTGAAGCCAATCACAAGTACAAACCTTGGTGTAATATTATATAAAGAAGTAAATACTAAAGATTTGTTTTAATTTTATCAAAATATATTTTGCATTGTGCAACATGAATGGATTTGAATTTAATTTCTTTATATTACAGTAGTTACGTGACTAAATAAACGTTGCCATAAATAATCGTTGCCATCATAAGAATATGTAAATTAAAATATTATTGATTGTAATAATTGTCTTTATTTTTGAATAGCACTAATAAGTCAGTTGATTCAATAACGATGCCAATCCCCTCCGCTGTCATATACATTAGTTGAATAAAATTCTGTGTTTTCCTTTCCTTACGACGGGATAATAGTCATAATTGTAT